GTCCAGCTATCACCTCGTGCCCGAGCATAACGATAAAGGCCGTCATATTCTTTTGCTTCAGATCCAGATTACGCCGTAGTCGCTCGTCTTTGTGCGGCGAGCCGAACGGCTGCATCGTCTCCAGCGCAGCTCTTGGTCACTCTCAGTGTCGCAATATCAGCAAATACGGCACCCAAGCAAACGCATAAATCACATCACACAGCAATTCTTTATTTGTCATTTATTTATTCCTTTCATCTTTTTTCTGTACTAGATTATTGCAATCTGGTTAATTCACATTCAAAAAGCAGTCGTTGACCAGACGCATTGAAATCGATGATATTTATTTTTTACAATAACCATTATAGGCCCCATAGAGACTGGAAAACCCAATCCAAAAAAAGAAACATCTGTATGGTTTTCTGCACTTTATTTTTGTTTTCATGTCTTTTTGTTTTCATAGTAATTACAAAAAGGAAAAATATATATAACAATAATCATAAAAAGGATCGTTTTAGGTGGCGGTTTAGGAATATTACGACTGGCAAACAATCACAACACAGCACAAGTACCTACTTACTGCAAGAAATGAAAGGTACAAAAATGAAACAAAAGCAAAGAAGTGGAAAAGGAAAAATCAAAGGAAACGGCACCTATGAAGTCGAATACAATAAGCGACCGAGGGGACGAGAAAGTCTACAGTCTATGAAAGAACAAAACAAAAAAATCTCAAAACAAAAGCTGTTTTCTTGCTTTTTTCCTTTTCTATTCATTAAAAAATAAAATAAATTGACCTGGGGAGTGATTGGTGGGAGGGGGGGAGGACGAAGAAGCTGGTGGGGGTTTTGGCGGGACAATAAAAAATACTGCACGTACAATACCTTGGTTCTCTTTCCTTCAGCGAGCGCTCACTGCTTTCCTCACCCACTTTCTCCTTTCTTTATTTAATAGCATATCCCATTAATATTCCTTTCCCCCGCTGCTCCTAATAGCCGCGCCCAGTGGCGCGATCGTTAGAGTTTTACATGTGAGTAGCAAATGACACTTTGATTGGCTGTGATGTGGAGATGGGGGTCCCCCGCCGGCTCTGGGTCGGGGGCCCCGGCTGAGCTGCGAGATCCTGCCGAGCCTCGGTCTCACTGCGCGTGCTGACTCAGTGTGTGGTTCTGCAGGGAGAGGGCGAGAGGGGGAGATAGGGAGAAAAAGTGAGAACACATGATGAGAGAAATAATGGGCTACATGAGCGGAGTGCTTTCCACTTGCCCCCCCACCCAATAATAGAGCAGAAACACAACCGCCTCCCACAGCACAGACAGCGAGGCCTCCTCGCCGCTCCGTACGTAGGTTGACGAAAGACGAGAAACGACTCTGCGACGCACCGGTCGCTGCAGCCTCACATGTGCTAACGGGAAACAAGCGAGGCAAAAGAAAAATGGCAGTTTGAAAGCAATTTAAACACCGAGCTCAACACGCGGCTCCGCCAACAATAGATCAACAACAGATCCGACATTTCTGCAGATGGAGTAGAAAGCAGGACCAACGCGAGACCGTGCAGTATGTGGAGGCCTCGGTTGTTTAGCAGGCCTTGAAACCCTCGTGGCTTTTCATATTGAGATTCATATTTTACAGCAAGTGTCGCCATGACTCGGAGACACATTCACATCAATACATCACCACAATGCAAAAAGAAAAATACACTTTCTTTCAACATGAAAATTCCAACACGTTCTCACTCCCAAAGCGTAACATTTTACGCTAGGTGACAAA